TGGGCTCGGGTGTCAGAGGTCATAACAGAGCTGGTACCTGCTAGGCCTCTAATCCCAGGTCCTCTGGAGGCTGCAGTAAGAGGGGAGAAAGTTCAAAGCCAGCCTCTCTTACAGAACAGGAGCCTGTCTCAAATTAAAATAACAATGTTTGTAGATGTGGCTCAGTGGTGGAATCCCTAGATCCTAAGTTCTGTCTCTACCAGGGATGGGAAGCTGAGGTCGCCGAACCACAGTCTGATCAGAATCTTTCTCATGTCACATTTGGAAGTCATAGGGTCTTAGGAATCTGGGGTCAAATGTCCTGAATCAGAAGAAGATGATGATGATGATGATGATTACTATTTTAGTTGAGATGAAGTAAGTGAAAATTTGGCAGCTGTGGAACTGGGGTCTGGTTAATGTGTTCAGGAGGTGGAAGAAGTGAAGTCTCCCAGGAAGTGAGACTGGGATCAAGAAGTAATGAGGTCAAAGGACCAGGCCTGGGGACAAGGGTCGCCATAGTGATCTTTCATGAAACTGAGGGTGTTTAGGATGGCAGTGAGGTTGAGCGGAGGGGTATAAATTTGGATCAAATGTCCTTGGGAAGAACGCAGCCTCAAGGTAGGGATCCCAGAGGGTCTACACCACCCATCTCTGTCCCCAGACCCATTCCCAGACCGGCTCCAGTGCCTTGACCTCTCCATTGTCTCCAATGCCACGTGCCAAGCCGTGTTCCCTGGGAGAGTGACGGACAATATGGTGTGTGCGGGTGGTGAAGCCGGGAAGGACGCCTGCCAGGTGAATCAACTCAGGGTGATGATGACCATTGGGGACAGAAAGGAGCTGATGGAGGAAGGAAGGAAGGTGAACGGTTTCGTGGGGGGCTCAAGAGGGACACTGAGGCCGACTGGAGGTGGAGTGCGGGGTTTTTAGTAGAGTTCTTAATGCCATAAACAGACAGAGAGACAACAGCATGGCAGGGGCTCTGAGCGCCAGAGACAGAGGGCATGATGGGACTCCGAGGAGGAACCAGAGTCCGCGTGGCAAAAGAAGAGGGGGTTCTTTTTTATACTTTTGTGAGAGTGGGGAAGGTTTCACAGTAAGCCTCTGCAGGAGGCAGGGGAGGGGCAGGGCAGCAGAAGCATGTATGGCCACCAATACTCACTTGGACTTAAGCTCGGTTCCCAGGTGAGGGATCCTGGGGCCTGGAACTCTGCTAGCCAGGGCCTGGGAAACGGTATCTTTGTAGAATGCCTGTCGGTGTCTGTGAGAGGGGAGAGGGGTCTTGCTGCTCGAACCACAGCTGGATTCTGACTTCACTCTGCAGAAGTGAGGAGAAGTAGGCAAAGTC